CAGGAGCAGTCCCAAAAGGTTGAGCCCCGAATTACAGGAGTGGTGAGGTTTTATATAGTTTGTATGAGGAGACTTGTCCTCTCAGCCATCACGGCATAAGCATCCTTTATTGCTCGGGAAGGGGGTCAAGGTAGCCAGAGCTGCTACTGTGGGCCAGCAGCACACTGGGAACTTTCTGCTCCAGCGAGCAGCGGAATCCAAGCCGCAGACTCCCCCAGCAGCAGGCCTGGGGAAATAGCTGAACCTAAGCAGACCTGGGAAACTCCCTGCTGCAGAGGAAGCACTTGGAAAATATTAACTTCCAGGGACACTGTTTTCACAAAATGCCTTAGTAACATCATGCAGTGTGCCAGTCATGGGGATACATGTAAAATGTGATGGACGTAAGATATACCTCTTACTGTGTTAGTCACGAACATAGTAAGCTACTGACCCGGGAAGGTTCTAGAATGATATACTTTGTGCCTTGCTGTTCTCCGGACTGCTATGTCAGGAGACACCCTGTCATGTCGGTGAACACCCTATCCAAAAGGACATTGCTTCCCTGTTGCTTCCATGGCAACAGGGTCAGAGACCCCAGCTCTGCCTATGAACCCCAGTTACCTTCTGTGTTGAAGATGCAGATGATAAGCAATGTGCTTCTCTCCCAAGATGTAAGAGCAGGATAAGTGCCTTGAAAACTACAATAAATACTAATTAGAACACTGGCAACTAAGGCTTCTCTGTGTCCTTGCTATTGCAAACTGAATAGCTTTAAACAATCCTGTGAATTTCACATGTAATAGCCGAAGAGACCAAAGTTTAAGGAGGCGAAGTGTTTGAACCAGGACTTGACGTGTGGTCTATCTACCAGATCCCACCGGCCATCATGAAATAGCCCTGCTTAAACGCTGCCTAAAGAAAAATTATACTATGTTACCCATGAAGGAGCATCTTTGTTTTATGATGTTGTTTCTATTATTTATGAGAACTGAATCCTTTAACCACACCCTTCAATATGGTAATACTGGATGAGTCCTGTGACTCCCCCTTACCTTATTTCCTATGATTACTTGCCAGACTTTGAGACTAAGTGCTGCACTGAGCTGCTGACGGGGGTACCTGGCGCAGGGCTCTGGGTGACACAGTCATTTCCTTAGCTAGAAAACGGCCGCCAAGGTGAGGCCCTTGCGCGGAGCAGGTGAGGGTAAGTGTGCTCAAGAGAGAAGCTGTGAAAGCGAGGTCTGGTCTGGAACCCGGGCAGCTGGGTGGGGTGACCTGGCCCAGGTGGAGGGACAGCCAGGAAGAGGGCGGACTGCAGGGCAGCTGCTCTGATGTTTTCGGGACCTTCCGTGCTCTTTTGAAAGGAGGGCAAGCCTAGGAGGACCCCCCAGGAGGTGAGAGGGGCAGGCCCTTGGGGCCTGGTGATGGGCAAGAGGAATGTTGTGACTGTGAGGGGCTGCAGTTGGTCCCCAGGTCTGCTTCTTGAAGAAATGGCCAAGGTGACCTCTGCTCTGAGAGACGGCAGAGGTGTGGCTGGTGGTACTTTGCTGTGGTCACTGGTGGAGTCAAAAAATCAGGGGTGCAATGGTCAGGCTTCAAGAATCCAGAGATGACGTCCTACCTTCTCCAGTTCTTGAATAACATGCAAATATTGTTCTTGCTTTGATTGCTTCAGTTCCGGCCCTCACATACATTCTGATCATTTCCATTGCGCCGGTTGAAAAAATCTTGCCCCAGAGGTAGTTCTACACAAGGAAACACAAGGCTTGAATTTGGAAGAGCCTGCAGTGACAGGTTCAATTGCATGCCCAGAGAACCTATGGAGATCCAAATGACATTACAGGCTTTTCATAGTTCTGTTTATAGAACCCTTCACGAAACTTTCAGGAACAAATAAAGATAGGCCCAAGTCCAAGAAGAATGTTACACCAGGCCTCCTGGCCAGACTCACTTCCACCTCAGCTTGAGAAACTAAACCCTCGGAGGCCATTCTTCCCAGCTCTCCCTGGACTCCTGCCCGGCACATCCTTAGTGATCATTCCTCTGGCCTTGACCGTGAACATAACTTCCCAGGGCTATAGGAACTCATGAGCAGCTAGCTAAAGTCCATACTGAGAAGAAACATTTGGTTGAATTCCTGAGCTTCCTGGACTGGGAAGAAACTCAGACCTGTGGGTTGAAGGTCCATTAGGCGACTCTATGGCTCCCACAGGTACAAACGGGGCTCTGAGCAGCTCAGCATGCTGGAGGTCTGGGTTCAGGCCTGACGAGGGGCTGTCGCCCCACAGGGCTGGCCAGGGCTCCGGGTGACCCAGCAAGCCGGGGTGGAGGCAGAAAAAGAGCCGTAAAGTGTCCCCCGCCCCCCGGGCTGCTTGGGACAGGGAGGCAGCTGGGCTGTGGCTGGAAGCCATGAGAAGGACCCACAGGTCTGCCTGGGACCAAGTCTCTGCGGGGGGCCTAGAGCAGGACTGCTGGGGCAGCTGGACGGGGCCAGGCTGGGCAGGGGCCAGGTGAGTGGGCTTGAGCAGTTTTCTTCCAGCCTGAATGTACTATTTTTAAAGCCAAATAGCAGCATCCTTCCTCCAGCCCCAAAAGGGAAAATCTCAGAGCAGCAGTGATTGCTGTGGTCAAGGACAAGGGAGATAGACAAGGGCAGCAGGTTGAGATGTAGGAGCTGGAGTGATTTTTTTTTAAGTTTATTTTCTTTTTTTATTATTTATTTATGCACGCAAGAGCTGGGGTGCAGGCCAGAGGTGTGTGGGTGTGAGAAGATTCACCAGAGACAGAGTGGGGAGCAGAACAGGTAGATCTACTGGAATACACTGTGGACAAGACATAAGTCTGCTACGCCATGTGGGTCAGCTCCTTGGCCAGGGATCGAACTCGTGCGGCAGTGGCTGGTGATAGCGTCATAGAGCTGAGCCCTAACCCTTGCACCACCGGGGAGGCCCAGGAACTGGAGTACTGAATTAAGAATTGGCAGATCCTAGTGGATGAGGATGTACAATTCACCCCCACGGGGTCGGCAGGCAACTCCCTCAGTATCCAAGATTCCATTCTGGCGAAGTGAAGCCCACACTGAGGCAGCTCACTACAACACAGTGGAGTCACGAGATTTACTACTTTCAGATTCCAGAAGTGGGAGAAGCAATGAGTTGGGCGGAGGGCAGGCTGCGAGGGCAGGGTGGCAACCTCCTGTTACTTATGTGGAGGCTGGGGCAGCGGTCTCTACATTTTTCATGGGCTCCACTCTAAAGGACGATTTCAAAAGGCGCCCCAGGAAAAGCAAAGCCGGCACTAACCGGAGGGCACTAAACTCAAGCCCTGAGCCGAATACCCACACTGGGTGGGAGCAGGTTATCATACTGTAAAACTGAGCAAGATCTTTTTCCTTACAACTGACCTTGAGATGCCCAGACATTCACCTTTAGGGAAAAATGAGAGGCCCTATCTGGACAATAGATATTAAAAGGCACTGACAGGCTTCTGGTCACTCAACACAGAAAACACATGAGCAAAGCAGAAATGCCAGTTAGTGATATAAACCAAACTCCCTCCTCCATTTGCTGGAATCCAGCTGAGAAAATAAATCAAAGCTCTCCGATAAGGTTAAAGTAGATGTCTGATTGTACCCTTGGGCCTTCTTTTGTTAATTGCTCTAGATTGCCGGCTGGGCCCTTACTGTGATACACCTCCTCACAGGTCAACAAAAATCTGAAGGTGAACTTGATCCAAGACCACTTGCACTCAGAATGGCGTGAAGCCAGGCTTTGCTGGGACACCCTGTGTTCACCGGGGCACGGACAGGCCAGCTGTGGCGTGCCCAGCACGGAAGCGCCAGCCTCGGTCCCCGGAAGGGCAGACAACTTGGGTACCTGCCCCAGGATTCACAGGCAGGCCCACCTCCACTCATGTCCATTGGCTGGACAGGACTTGCTGAGGCCTCCAGGCCAGCGCTGTGCTGGAGGCTGAGAGAAGGAGAGCCCGTATGGAGAACACCCGTGCGATGAGGAACTGGACACACAGGCCACCAGCTGCGTGACTGGGGAAGCCCGGGTGAACTGGGGTTCCTCTGAATGGATGGGGCGAGTGGTCCCTGGGGTGAGGTGGAGGTACTGGTGCTGGGCACACATGGAGCTAAAGGGCACACTTCTGCCAGTCACCATACCTTACTGTGCTGTCCCACACAGGAGCGCTGAGCACTAGAAAAGAGTGGCCAGGCAAGCCGCACAATTGGGGTGCTGTTGGGGTGCCTTTGTTGACTGGTAGTGTACCAGCCATATGGCAGCCCTCCCCCCCCCCATGAAGGGCTGTCCACTGCATGAAAATACAAAGGCTGTTGGAGGGCATGGATGAGGACTGGGCAGTGGGGAAGATGGGGCTTGACCCCTGGGGGTGACCCCATGGCGTGGTCCTGAGGGTGTGGGGGGGCATAATGACCTATCTAATGGGCATGGGGAAGGCAGGCAACTGAGCATTCCAAGGGTTCCCTAGGTGGGAGACTCCATGTCCCAAAGCTGGGAGCAGGCTGGCAGTCAGGCTCTCGCTCAAGCAGGTGCGGTGGCAAGGGGGCCCTCCCCGGGCTAAACTTAGTTAACTCTGCAAGTGCCACTCAAGGTCAGCCTCAGGGAACAAGATAAGCAAGTGTTCAGTGCAGCAGTCAAGTCTCCGGCTTGCCGTCAGCTGAGGCACCTCCTTGGTGTTCTCTGTTAATGTGGATGGTTGCACAGGCGCACCTGTTATCCAGCAACATCTGAGGCTGGAGGAGCCACCCCAGAGGGTGGTCCGTTCTCCTAGGTAGTCACCCAGGACAGGGCCTGAGGGGGTGACAGTTTGCATTTGGGGGATGACCTGATGAAGTGAGCAGCAGTGAGCAGCTTGCAGCTGGACACCGCCAGGGCCGGGGAAGGGCTCCTCTGCCTCCCCGTAAGGAAGACCAGTGCCCAGGAGGGGACTCTACCCTGTCCAGGGCAGGGGTTGGGGTGCACAGGACAGCCACACACAGCACAGTTCCGGCTGCACGTCCAAAGGTAGTTTTTATTCCCTAGGAACAAAGATATGTGGGAAAGAAAGTCCACAGGGAAACAGGATCACAGTGACAGAGTGGCACAAGACTAGATGGATGACACCTCCACAGTGGACCCTGGTCGTGCCCTGGTCTCTTGGGTCAGTATGTGCCCCGTCCCCAGGCGCCCATTAGAGGGGCGGGCAGGCAGTGGAAGCTCCTGAAGCTTACACAAAGGAGATGAACGTACCTGTCCATGTCTCGGGACAAAACCTCCCTCTCAAGAATAGAGGTAGACAGATAGGAATGAAGGACCTGGGGGTCACAGCCAACCAGAAAGGAGTCCCAGGGACCCTGTGCCTCTGCAGAATCTATGCTTTCCTGCAAGGGAAGCGATAGCTGGTCAGGTCTGAGGAGGTCGAACTCGCTAAACGGGGTCCCAGAGCAATGCGAGCCTGTAATACCCTTTCTGTCCATTTGAGTAAGGAGCCATTTTCCTTTTCCCAGAAGATTCACTTCTGTCCCCTTTCCTGGCAAAATTCTGCTCCCTGCAGGCCTGACAATGGGCAAGAAAAACCTGGACCCTCACAGTTCCAGAGCCGGTCATCTGTTTCTATGGCAGCGAGAGCCCCAGGGACCAGGTCTTTTGGTGTGGGCTGAGCCGTCCAGTGGGGCTTCCCTGCAGGCGGCCTTGGCCTCAGGTCAGGATCACAGCGAGGTCTCCTGGAGGATGAAGGTGGGGCTGCTCCCCTGCTGGGCTGAGCCTTCGGCAGGCGCTGCCACCGCCTCCTTGCCCCTCGGCATCCCGTTGCTCATCTTCTCCGGAAACACAGTGGTGTCCACGCACAAGTCCTAGGGCGCACGCAGAAAGGGGAAGAGTGAACACAAAACCAGGGGTGATGGGCTCTTGCAGAGGGCGAAGACCCTGGCGTGAGCCTTCCTGCCAGGGAGATCAGTGGGGAGGGAGGGAGGAGCTACGCTGGGGGCAGCCACCGGCGGGGGGTTGGGGGGGACAGGGGGAGACGGGGACCAAGGGCAGCAGGCTGCACCAGCCCGCCCTGAGCAGGAGGCGGACAGCCGCTGTGGCTGTCCAGGCTGAGGCGGTGGTGGTGTAGGCGTTAGAGGAAGGGGTGCTGGGTGGAGAAAGCCAAGCGGTGGGTGGGGACCTGGCGGCTGGGGCCACTGCTCAGAGAGCGACGTCAGGGCCCGCGCGAGTGCTACCTGGCTGCAGCTTCTGCAGTGAAGTCGCTTCTGACAGGACAGGGGCAGGAGGGCAAGGAGCCTGGGCAGCACCGGGTAAATGGTCCGAGGGTTCAGGGTCCGGCCCCGCATGCCCCCTGAAGGCAAAGGTGCTGCTGAGCCTGCTGCCGAGTGACCAGCGCACACCCAGCAGCCCTCTGTTGTCTGTTCTTGGGGCTCCAAGCCCCGGCGCCCCTCTCCTCACAGAACTCAGCCAAGACCCTGCCAGCTGCAGACCTGAGAGCCCTCCCGACCCCCCGCGGCCCGACCCACACCCTCACCGGTGAGCAGGCTGACAGTCAGGCCCACCACGATGACCGTGCTGGAGTTGTGAGCGCTGTACCATAAGTACGACAGGGAGTAGAGCCTCTGCAGCCCTGCAGGCCTGGGGGCACACGCGGACAGTCAGCAACGCAGGACGGAGCGTTTCTCGCGTGCTGGCTCCTCCCACCCATCCAGCCCTAGGATCTGGGGAGGCCCCATGTGCACATCCAACTCTTCCCTCAGGCGTCGTGGCTCCTTCCCTAGCAAGGCCCCTGAGGAATCTCCCACAAATGGGCTCTTTGCCCTAGAAGAAACTCACTTGGAGAGGGTGGTTGTGGGCATCAGTGTGGTCACGGCGGCAGTGGTCAGATTGCCGGGCAGGGAGAAGCTGGACCCGTTCGGGGGGGAGGGAGCCACGCCGGCACCCATGCTGGTGACGATGCTCCCGATGCCGATCCAGAAGGCCATGGTGAGTCCGGCCAACAGGCCCACGATGGCACCCTGCCCGGGGACACAGCACACTCCCCACTCACAATGCAGCCGACGCACCAGCACACTGCTCCCAGCACTGGGGGGTCAGCCCCACCGAGCCACGCCCCAGATGCAGCCCAGCACGTGGCCGCGGCAACCAGATCACTCACAGGAGGGTTGGCACAAGGAAAGAACATCCCAAGGCAGAAGAGTCCAAGCAGTGGCCCCCCAACCATGCCAAAGATGCTGATCGCTGCCTGCGGAGGACAGGGTCAAGAAAAAGAAACAGCCGCGGTCAGAGGCCCTGCGCCTCACCGACACACAGCACAGCCAGCCGCCATGGCCGCAGAGCCGACCCCCTCCCAGACCTGTCTGCCTTCTTCCACCAGAATCAGAACACAGGGTGCCCGAGGGCAGGGATGGCACCTGGGCGCTTAGAGCTGAGGCAGCAACCCCCCCGGAGAGGCCCTGGGGCTGCCACTTGCCAGCCCACGGCTGCAGGTGGGCCATCCGAAGGGAAGTGAGGCCCCAACCCGATGTCTTTCTCTCCACAGTAGCTCTTTCTCCATTTCCTATTTCCCCCTTTAAAAATTGCTTCCGGCCCTCCCTGGTGGCGCAGTGGGTTAAAGCACAGCACTGAGAATCAAAAGCCGCTTCCGCATGAGTTCGATCCCCGCCTGCCCCGGAGGTGACCACATGGCGCGGCAGACCTCTCCTGACCCGCCCGCTGCTCCCCTCAGCAGTGTGCTTCGTCGATCTGCCTGTTCTGCTCCCCACTCTGCGTCTGGTGAATCCTCTCACCCTCCGCATCTCTGGCCTGTACCCCAGTTCTGTATGAATAAATAAATAAATCTTAAAAAAAAAAATTAAAATAAAATAAATAAAAAATAAAAATTGCTTCCTGGGTATAATGGACCAGGTGGAAAATAACAAAAACAATGAACAACTATATACCGGAGACATTTTGTAGGGGTGGATGGGGAATGGGATCAAAAACGGGGTGGGGGGAGGGAAATGCACGGGATTATGGTGATGGCACATGGGTGACTTGGTGATGGGAAACCCGCAGGGATTACAATTGAGATGGAAAAAAAATGTACAAAATGATGTAAAGATAACTTTTTTTATTAAAAAAAATTTAAAAAAAAAATTGCTTCCTGGGCCCTCCCTGGTAGTGCAACTAGTTAAAGTGCAATGCTACGGAGCTGGCTGCAGGAATTCAGTCCCAGCAGGGAGCGGACCCACGTGGCACAGGCCTTTCCGGGCCGCCCGCCACTCCCCTCAGCAGTGTACTTCGTCTATCTGCCTGTTCTGTTCCCCGTTCTGTCTCTGGTGAATTCTCTCACTGCCCCTGCACCTCTGGCCTACACCCCAGTTCCCTATGCCTAAATAAATCTTTTTTTAAAAAAAATTGCTTTCTTCCCTCCACAGTCAATACCTGCAGCACGGGTCCCATCTGGGAAGAAATATAGGCCATGCCCAGACAAAGCAGCCCGTAGGCAAAGGCTGGGGAGAAAGGAGGAAGCAAGCAAATGTGAGTTAAAACAGTGAGGGGGAAGCAGAACGAAGCTCTCCCCCAGCCAAACCACCTCTGGAACGCCTGGAATCAGCACACTAGTCTTACCCGGCAGGTCCCTCCCACCCTGCCCTCCCTCCGCAGTGACACAGCTTCCTGGGAAAGGCCGGGACAGAAACAAGGCTGCGTCTCCACGTGGCAAACATGAGCCCACCAAAGCTGCGCTTGCACGCAGGCTGACAACTGTGCCGGCGAGGCCGAGCGCGACCTGTCTGAGGAGGGGAGGAAGCATGTCCCACCGAGGAGCCTGGAAAGCATGGTGGCCTGGAACTCGGAGAACTGAGGGAACCAGGGTCGGATCAGGTCTTCCATCGTGACCGTCGCCAGTGAATTGAAAGCAGAGGAGATGGTGCTGAAAGGAGGAAGAGAGGACGACGCTGGGCACCAAGGGGCCATATGGAGAAGGGCCCGGAGTGTGTGTGTGGGGGGGGTGCCCGGTGGCAAAACCATCCTCCCAGTGGGAGACCACCTGAGAAGTGGCCGTGAGGCCGAGGACACATGTCCTCTCCTGTGAGGGGAAAGGCTGCAGACCGACTCCTGGTGTTGTAGAAGAATCCGTCCCACAGAGGGGGCCTGTCCCGAGCTGTCCCGCGCCCCTCGCAGGCGGAAGGCCACGGAGAGTAACGCAGGGCACGCCCTCCTCCACCCACACCTGTGCCCAGGGGCGACCCGCACCAGCTCCGAGGGAAATGGTCGCAGGGTACCTGAGGGAGCCGCTGAAGAGGCAGGCGACAAAGAGCCCAGGCAGGCCGGGCAGGTCTCTCAGGAGGTCCATCACGAAATACAGGACGAACTGTGAGCAGAGACGAGGGCCGGCTCTCCTGAGGAGTCCCTCCCACGGACACACCCCCGAAGTGCCCCAGCCAGTCCACAGGCTGAGGGCACCAGGAAGGGCCAGGCAGGGAGCAGAGCCCACATGGAGAGCGTGGACCCTGCTCTGCCCGCCTGGCTGTGGCACTGGGGGAAGCCGACCCTGCGCCTGCCCGCTCCCAGCAGCGCACAGCGGCAGCACGGCCGGAGGAGTGGAGTAAGGGCGCCCGGAGGAGGGCGAGCGCCTGCGTGACTGGGTGATGCCGGGCCAGGCGGAGCTGCTTGCTAAAACCCCAGAGCAGGGGACTTCACATCCACTCCCACCAGGCTGGAAGTCCTCCCTGCAGCCACCAGAAGCAACTCTTAAGGGCCCAAGTTGGTCTCTCATGAGAACAGCAGGGGGCCAGGGAGCCTCTTCACCTGGTCAGGGGCTGCTTGACTCTGCTGGGCACTCATGGGATACTCCTGGTAATAGGCGAACATGACCAGGCCAATGAGGCAGCCCATGCAGAGGACCACCTGCTGGCAGGGGAACACGGCGTAGCAGGACCTGCCGGGAAGGCCGGGGCAAGGGGACAGGGTGTAACAGGCCACGAGGCACATAGGAGCCCCCAGAAAACAGGCCCGCCCGTGTCCTGCCCCCACCCCAAGTGACTCGGTGGCACCAGGCCCACTCCCCGCTGTGCCCAGCACTCACAGCACTGCGGCCTTCTCTGTGCGGGAACTGAGATAGCGCTGCACCTGGGCCTGGTTCACCCCGTACAAGGAGAGCATCATGAAGATGCCCCCGAAGGCCAAGGTCCAGAAAGTGTGCCGCACGAAAGGGTCTGGATCCAGCCTGCAACAGACACACGGGTCACCGCCCCGGCCTGGACGCGGCCTTCCTCACTGCCTAGAGAGCGTCGGCGGGCAGCAGACACCACCACAGGGGCCACGGAGCTACTGAGGGCACAAACTGGGCGGAGTCCAGAGGGAGTGCCGCCGGCTGGCAGGAGCGTCCAGCCATCCCAGGAAGTGCCCTGAGCTTCCTGCACCAGCCAGAAACCTGTGGCCACCTGCATCCCCTAGCGCAGCTGCCCGCCCCCCTCAGCGCTGCCCTTGAGGCGTCCACAGCACGCCCTCTGCTTCCCGCAGCCCTGCCCTTGGGCCCCAGCCGCCCGGCACTATGGAACCTGGCGGGGGGGGTACTCACTCGATCCCAGAGATGAGGCCGTGCTGGGAAGCCACATTCCACACGTGTCCTATGCCGCCCACCTTGGCCGACCCCACGATGATAACTGCCAGTTGCCCCAGGAACATGACCAGCGTCTGGAACACATCTGTCCAGATGACGGCCTTCAGACCCCCCTGCAGAGGGAAGCGGCACACGCTGCAGACGCCTCCCAGAGGCCCACAGGGAAGACAGTGACACACAGCAAGGGCCGGGCGCCGTGGCAGGCTCACAGGGAGGGCTCCGACATGCCCACCCTTCCCTGACTTCCTGCACCTCTGCCTCCCACGGCCTCCCAGACACATCCCACCTCCCCGTCCTTTCCCTTTCGCTCTGCCCTAGACTTTCACCCCTCTCCTGCCTATATTCTTCAGTCTGACGCTCTCCCAACGGATCTATTTCAGCTGCCGCTCCCTCCCTGTATTCTTACCCCCTCCCCAACTTATCTCACGCTTTCTTTGCCTTTTTCTCCCGTCTTCCCTCCTCCATCTCTTCTCTCTCTCTCAGCCCTCCCTACTTACCAGGGCAGTGTAGATGGTGCAGACAATGCCTAAGGTCAGCACTGACAGCCACAGGTCAAAGCCAGTTACTGCAAACAGAGAAAAGTCACCACGTGGCTCTGGAAGAGGATTTACCAGTCGGGAAGCCAGAGGAGTCCTGGTAAGGGGAGCCACGTTCATGCTGCAGACATGACGTATCTGATCAGCGAAGATGAGATGAATCATTCACCACGATTGGAAAAAACTCTAGAGCTCCACAAAAAGGTGTTGATTAACCAATTCAACCAGGCATGGGCACAGCAATATCTGATTGCTGTCAAGCAAGGTGAACAATGCCTATCTCTGGCGAGAAGGCCAAGGGCCCAGGCAGTGAGGTAATTCTGTCGCTAAGGTCAAATTCTTTCCTGCCCCTCCCTACGGGTTTTTCGGACCTGTCTCCACTGGCAGCCAAGGCTAGAGGCCTCACCTGCGTTGAGGGCGAGTGACGGTGCGTAGAGTACGACCCCCATGTAGATCACCTGTTGGTATGGGAGAGGGGTGTGAGGAGGAGATGAGCAAGACCAGGCGGAGGAGAAAAGCCAGCCCTCTGCACCGACATCCCGGGGCCTCCCTTCCCATAGGCTCCCTTTATTCTCCTTCCAAATTGTGGCTTGCTGCTGCCACCGTGGTACCTGGCTGGAACGGGAACAGGAAGCAGGATGCCTCTGGGGGGCTTCTGGGACACTGACCCCTGCTAGGACTTCAGTCCTGCCAGGCACCCCTCCACCTCAGCAAGCCTGAGCTCAGGCTTCTCTGCCAGGCGCCATGCCCAGCCCCCCCTTCATCTCCCTTACCATCTGAAAGATGAAGGTCACGGTCCCACAAACCCGCACTGCTTTGTTGAATCGGAGCTCCAGGTACTAGGTAGGAGAGCAGAGGGAAAGACGGTGTTCCCGCTCAGTCCACGGCCCGCCCAGCCCCAGCTCACACACCTCTCCCTCCTAGGTCCAAGAACACGAGGCGATATCCAGCGCACAATGACTGGTGCCCCTCGGCACTGCCCTCCTGTTTCTGACTCCCTGCTCCCACTGCCACCTCTACCCAATTTCCACCAGAAAGAATTTGCGAATACTGGGCACACTCCCTGTTCTTCGCATTAGGCAGAGGAGAGCCACGGACTCAGGTCCTCCCTCCGTCCCTGACCCTGGTGCTCCCCTCTCCCTTGTGGCTCACCTCATAGGCACTGGTGAGATGCAGGCGGTAGAAGACAGGGATGAAGATGTGTGCGGGGATCAGCAGCCCCAGAAAATAGGAGCAGCCCAGGAACCAATATTGAGTCCCAAATCGGTAGATCTCAGACGGCACACCCAGGATGGCCACGGCCGACTGGAAGGTGGCCAGCAGGGACAGCGCCACTGGGAGACAGCCCATCTTGCGGTCTGCCAACAGCAGCTGGCCAACGGTATGCCGCCCCCAGCCACGGCAGGCGTGGTAGAGCCCGATGGCAAGCGAGAGAACCAGCAGCAGGACGAACACCACATAGTCCACTTCAGAGAAGGTAGAGATGACCGGGCTTGTGTCTGAGGTTGGGGGGAGAGGAGGGGAGGAGCTCCCCCCGACACTCATATCCTCACTGTGTCCGCGGCCTGCAGCCACTTGCTGTTCCCAGGCTGTGAGCTGCCCCTTGGTTGGGCAGAGGTGGGCAAGCGGCTTCAACCTGGCTCCCAGCCACGATCTCACAGTCTCCTTCCTCTACCAAGTGAAATTGTCCAGGGTGTGCTACAAAGGAATCAGCCCCTAGTCAAGCCACCCTGCCTTCACGGCGGCCACACCACGGATCTGAGTCCTCCACCCATCCAACACCCATCCAACTTGGACCTGCCAGCTTGTGGTCAGTCCTTGAAGGCCTGGAGATGCCATATGGGTTCAGTGGGGCAGGTAAGTGAGGCAGTCAGGAAACTACTTGGCTGAGATCTATTTGGGTGTGAGTGACTGTGAAATCTGAGGACCTCTTTAGGTCTCCACCCCAGTAACAAAAGAAAAATCAACTCTAGCCCATATTTCTCAGAATTCCCTGCCCCCAACTGCAGGCACAGACCCAGTCACTACAATGCACTAAGCCAGAAGGGCCCAGCCTGGCGCCACAGCCCAGCAGGGAAGAAATAAGAGAACAGTCTTCCTCTATTCCCCCTGGTCTCAGCCCCTGCCTCCCATCATCCCCTGTGCTATACTCCTGATGGTACCCCTTCTCAAGACTGAATACCCAGGAGATCACCTCCAGGGAAGTCTTGGACTCCATTCTGGGCACCCCCAACCATCTACTCTGTGCCCCCACCACCACTAGACAGGCCCTGCCACCCACCTCTCATGCCCCCCACCTGTAACACACAGTTGGTGAGAGGTCCAGGAAGAGTGGTGGGATTCTAAAGTGAGAGGTATGAGGTGAGAGCGATGTGCTAGAGCTGGGGGTTCAAAGTGATAACTACAGGATCATCCTGGCGAGGAGCTATGCAGCCAGGGAGCTGGGGGCAAGGGGAACAGACAAGGAGAGTGGTTCTATCCTGCTGGGGCAGACACCTACCTAGAGAGGTAATCCCAGTTCAGAAGCGGAGCTGCCTGGAGAAGCCGTGTTGTGTCTGAAGCTGGGCAGAGTCTGCGGGGTCTGGTCAGTATAAGCAAAATAAGATCAAGAACTGGGGGTGGAATGTAGCTCTACAGCTATTTACTCTGGCCCCTTTGGGGAACCAATCGCTGTGATCCAAATGGCCCTATCACCCTGTGGCCCCAAACTCCAGCTCGGCCTTAGAGGCTCCAGAATGGGAGTGGGGAGCTCACATTCAGCAGCATTCCTAGATGGATTAAGCTTTCACTGCAAGTCATACTTGGCACTGTGTGCTGGAGGGAACTAGAAAGGAGCTAAGAGAAGATGGGAAAGTTGCTTTTTTTGACTCCTGCACAAGAAATACTAACCCTCAAAGAACATACCACTACCAGGCCCTCCCTCAACAGGTTAAAACACAGCACTGTGAAGCTGGCCACAGAAGCTTCAGCACAAGTTTGATCCCTGGCCCTGGGAGGTGACCCTGAGGGCTCGGTAGACCTCTCCTGTCTTGCATAAATAAGTAAATCTTTAAATAATAATAAAGAATATACCACTATCCTCCCAACAAAGGACAGGATCATGGCACAGATCTTCCTCAACCTTATGATGGGGTTAGGCCAGGGCAACCCACCCTAAGTTGAAAATAATAGTAAATCCAATGTGTTGACTGGGAGCTACCTGCTCACTGCCTCGCCCAGCCCACACCCAGTCTCATACCATGATTTGCCTGAATGCTTACTGCTTTCATATCATCACAAAAATCAAAAAAATCTAAGTGGAATTACCATAAGACAGGAACTATCTGCATTTCAAAACCTACAGAAATCTTTCTTCACTCCTCACATTTACAGAGGGAGCCTAACGTGACTCAAGTGATCTTTCCAAAGCCATGAGCTGGTTACTGACAGAGGCTAGTGATTCCCACCCACCTGTTCTCCATTTATAACATCCTGTCTGTCTTTAGGGGCGAATCCCCTGGGTACCTATAGGTATGGGGATAAAAGTATAGGGGGAGGCAATCCTAACATGACAGTTAACATTTTTGAACACCTGCTGTGAAACTCAGTAGTATACTATTTACTTATAAACACTAGTCATCAATAACACAACTCTACCTCGGGTTATGCCCTTTCCAGTTCCCAAGGAGAGTGAGATTTAGAGAAGAGAATCAATTTGCTTAAGGTTACACATGATACAAAACAAAGGAGAAATAAACAGTGCTACCCGCAGGTAGGAACAGTGATTCACCAGGGTTTCTATCCTCTCTACTTCTAGAACCAAGGCAAGAGCTGAGTGCTAATTGTAGTCAATCATTCACAAAGTTTAGGTTTCAACTAATCTAGAGACAGATTAATAAATGCTATGTCTCTGTTCTTGCCCACTAGGAGAAAGATCAGCCTGGTTATCTTCCAACTCTCACACTGTTCTTGGGCAGATGTTGCCTCACTGACAAGACAGCCTCACACAGACCAAACCTGAACTCTGAACCTCCTGGGGTCAGAAGAGTAAAAAGTCAGAATAATGTGACTGTGGGGTCATATGGTTTACAGAGTCACAAATGTTAGTGCCCAGAACAATGTTCCCAACAGACCACTCTGGTTTAACCTGAAGATGCCCTGGGCTTTTGCACATTTGTGATGTCTCACCTCCCTGGCAAGTTTTTTACGGTTACAATGAGGATGAGGGAAACTACAGCAAAGTATGAGAACTAGCTGTTGTGTGTAAACAAGAATGTGCAGCGATAGGCACATCTTTAGTGCCTAAAGATAGGCAGGACACTGAAGAAGGAAAAAAGGTCCATATAGACTGGAACACAGACAGACAGAAAAGAAGCACTATGGCTGGGGTAAATTGGCAGAACTCGGTTTGCAAAAGCGCGCAGTACCCTCCTAGATGGCTCCAGGCAGGACAGGAAAAACCTGACCCAAGCCTTCATCAGACAGGATTCTAAGAACCGGATAGTAGCTTCGCGAAAACTCTACAGTGATCTAAGCCAGCGACCTTTATGCCCTGTGAGAGAGTCCAAGTCAGAAGTAGGAGCTGAGCCTTTTCTCTAAAACTGTCACCCCGGGGGCACAGAGGTAGGCCCGTGGGGCCCCCTTTATAAAGTCTAACACACACAGAGGGGAAGAGAATCCTTCTCCACCACTAACTCCAAGCTCACTTTGGTGACAAAGCTGAACTGAATCGCCTTGACTTCTGCAAAAGGCAGAGGCCAGGCATTTCCAACCATCATCCCAAAGAGTCCTTCAAAATCTGTCCGGGAGCCTAGGATGCCTCAAGTCTAAACGGGCTGGCGGTGCTCAGTGAAAGCTAGTCACTACTAACACCTTAGAAAATGTGCCAGTTAGCTGAAAACAACTCTTTCAGGAGATTCCACATACTGGGGCTAAGTGGAGGGGAAGATGTGGAGCGTGATGAGCTTTGCCAAGCGTTGGGCAGGCTCTAACCAGGGGCAACCTCAGCCCCTCCCGCCCAGCCCTGCGCCTGCCCTTTCCTCAGGGCCCCTGGCCACTGGGGGGAGCGTCGTCTCACCTGCGTGGCTAAGAAGGTTCCGTCGTTCTCCCTGAGATCAGCATCGCTCTCTTTTTCTGGGGAGGCAAAGGGCACCGGGAGTTAGGAACGCTTCTTTGCCGCCGTCCCTACCTCTTCCCGGGGCTCTGGCGCCGCACGGTCTCCAGGCAGAGGTGAAGGGGACAGCGTGCCCGCCGTGTCCCCACGCTCGCCTCCTCCCGCTGGCGTTGGCCCTTCGCCCTCGCTCCTCCTTCACCCTTACCCTCTATTCCCTCCGTCCCTCCTGCTGGCCGCACGTGCCGAGGCGTGGGGACCACTACCACCTCGCCGCTGGGGCATCAGGTCTTCCCGGGCCCCGCGCCGGGGCCGGCTCGCCCCGCCCCTCCACCTCTCAGGGCCTCTCTGCATCGGCCCACTCTGCCGACCCGCCTCCGTCCGGCCCACTTGCTGGGTTTCCACACGTGGGTCCAGCGACCGACGAGGAGCCGGGTCCGCAGCGGCCCCGCCGGGTGACAGCGGGGCCCCGCCCCCTGCCCGCCCCCGCGCCGCCATGTTTACTGAGGGCGGATGGAGTAGGGGTGGGCAGAAACGCCGCCACGGCGCCGGAGCGTGCGAAATTCGGGGTTGAGTGCGCGCTGGCGGGAAAGCCTTTGCTAAAAGAGGACAAGTCGCGGCGGACGGCGTCGGCCAGTCCTCCCAGACGTAAGCTGCGTTGCTTGGTAGGGAGCGCCGACCTCCGCGAGCTGCGGCGGCGCCCGGCCCGGCCCGCCCCGGGCCGACGGGGCCACGCCCCGAGGGGCGGGGCCCCGGAGGGGCGGGGCCAAGGACGCCGTCTCGCGAGTCGCTGAGGACGCAGGGATCGGAAAATGGCCCCTCGCTGGCCGGGCAGCCCTTGGGCCCTGGTTCCCTGGGCTGCGGCCCTGCTCCTCGCTCTGGGCGTGGAAGGGGCTCTGGCGCTACCCGAGGTACAGAAGCAAGCTAGAGGTCGAGCTGAAGCCGGCTTGCTGGTCAGCCGTGGCTCCCGTTAGCCCGCCTCGGCTCGCCCCTGTGCCCAGCGGGCGCCAGGCTCGGGTTTCTTCCCTGAGGCCGCGGGGCCCTGCCGTAGCCCAGCCAGCTCTTGCTCCGGAGCATCACGCGGCGCTGAGCTTACGGCTCTCTGGCCCTGCCAGCGTCCAAAGGCCTTTGAAATTTGATCTCCTCAATCTTTGAATAACTTGAAGTTGTTCTTTGTACAGACATGTCCCTGGATGTTCTGCAAGCTCGCCTCGCACGAGCGCCGCGTTTTGAGCGGTGGCAGGGCTGCCTGTAATGCCTGATGGGTTCTTTATGTTCTTTTACTCCAAACTGGGGCTGTCAGGTTGAGAAGTCACCGGAGAAAGCATAATACATTTGTTTGATTAGTGATCCTCAAAGACAGGATTTTATCTGGTACAGAAAGTCTCTCGCGGGCTGGTTTGGGCCAGGCTCTAGGGGACGAAAAACATCTGGTCAAATCTGATAAAAATAGTGGGACACTTCCCTCTCCCCCCCCCCCTCACCGGGATGGAGAATTCCAGAGAGGTGTACTGCAGTTAACTTTTGGTCCCTGTTCTTTTCTTGGCTTTTCTTTCTTAAATGCTAATCTATTTCTGTCTTCTGCAGATATGCATCCAGTGTCCTGGGAGTGTACAAAATTTATCAGAAGTGGCCAATTATTGTAACAAGCAGACCCCTGCGCTAGTGCTGCACGCCCGCTGCTGCCTGAACCAGGAGGGCACCATCTTGGGGTGAGATGAAGAAATCCCTGGATATTGGCAGTTCGCAAGCTGAACCTTCCAGGCTGGCACAGCTGGTTCTTATGATAAACATTGGTGCCTATTTTAGAAACATCAACTTCTAAAACTGTCATAGCATTTTTGGCTTGAAAAAAAAAAAAAGCCCATAGTTATTCCGGGTTGAAACAGTATTAGAGTGATGGTTGGCTGTTTAAAACAAACAATACAAGAGTTTTAAGGCTTCCTTTTAAAATGAACATTGTTATTTTGTACATTATCAAGTCTTTGGATTGTTTACTTTGTGTCTGAAAGGATACCCCGTGCCCTGTGCCTTTCTGATCAATTCATGTTTGAAACAAACTCTTCCTCTGCCCTTATGCAGGTTAGTACTAAATTCTGCCCCCCTTGAGAGAGAATCCATCTATTTCTGTGACTTCAGCTTGTAACCACCATGCAGTTGTCTTTCAGAACTAGATGTTTCTGTGTCTTTTGCCCTCTGTTCAAGTTCCGGGTACATGTGGATACCTCTCATTCTTTTAAACATTCCCTCTTGAATGCACCCTCACTTCAGACTCAGATGACATGTCTTTTTTTTTCCTCTACCTAATTTACCTAAATACCTTGCATTACACTTTTTGAAGATTAAATTATTTCCATTATTGCTTTCTTGTCTTTAACATTATATTTATAACCATATGCCCCCCAGGATAAAGTTCAGACCATGAGCTATCTATCCCATTAGTCCCAACTCATCTGTCAGATACCCTTTCTGATTATGAGTCCAACACACTGTCCATGAGGACCTGGCTTGAGCCTACCTCCAAAGGACACCTTTGTTTGTCAGTCCTCTCTCCATACTTAAAATTGTTCCATCACCAAATTAATACATCTCCATCCTTTAATTCCAACATCTTTTTTTTTTTAAGTTTTATTTACTTATACATACAAGAGCTGTGGTGCAGGCCAGTGGGGAGCAAAACAGGCAGATCTAGTGAAATACACTGCTGAGGGGAGCATTGGCCGAGAGGGGAGAGGTCTGCTGTGTAGGTCACCTCCCTTGGGCTCTAGCTCTTGCTGCAGTGGCTGTGAACAGCTTCTAGTGATGTGTCATTGTAACCCCTTGCACAACCAGGGAGTTCCAACATCTTTTGTGATTGCTCCCTACCTGTACTTACTAGCAAATTGGTAACATTTTTACTTTCTCTAATCCTGTGTCTGTACCATTCAAATTTACTTATATATACTGGTGGGCCACTGGGGTAAAAATTCCCCCACCTCTGTGGCTTCTGAGATTGGGTAGAACAAACAAATTAATACCAAATTGTAGGAGAAAAGAAACACATGTTTAATTACATGCATTTGGAGAATTTACATTGCTCTAAGTTTTAAAGTAAATGGGATAGGCCAGGGTTTATATTATTGAGCTAATAAATGGAATGGGAGCCTGTGGCCTTTATTTCATGGACAGAGGAGGGGTGTCTCACATGTCTAAAACAAATGCTCTAGGTATTTGTCCTAGATAAGTATCTTTGATAAAAAGTTTATTCCTGGAGATGACCTTCAATCTGGGAAGTCTTCATTCTTTTTGTTAATGGTGGTAAGGGTTTCTCTTGAAGCCCCCAGGGCCTTGATTGACTCTCCCTGCCAAGGTGACACAATTGAAAAAAGCCTATCTGAACAATGTTGAGGAAGCCTATCCTTTGTCCCTTGAGTTCTTTGATACTGTAATTCTGTGTTTGTATTGTTTGTATTTTTTGGTGATGGTCTTATTCTCCTACTACACTGTAAGCAACTTGAAAACTAAGATGCTAAGTCTGTGTTTTTTAACTCTCTTAATTGTTGCCATTAGTTAGCATTCAGTAAATATTTGTAGACGAAAAGGAACAGACAGCAGTAAATATTGAAGGAAAATTATGCATCATGATCCTCATTGAATAGTAGTTTATATTCAGTCTATGATACAAAATGTACATGGAAAAAATTTTCATTTATGGTGACTTAATTTTTTTTTTCTATTTGAAGATCTGATACTCATATGATGTGAGCTTTACTAACCTAGACAAAAAATACACTTCTTTCAGTATATGCACAGATACATTGTTCTAGCCAATAGAATTTTCTGCCATGGTGGATATATTCTGTATCTTTACTCTCCAGTGATACCACTAACCTCATGTTAGTGGTTATTAAACATTTGAGATGTGGTTAGTAAAAATGAAAGACTGAATTTTTAAATCTAAATTAAGTAGCTACATGCAGCTAGTAGCAACTGAATTGGACAATGCAGGGTTACAATATCTAGCCCCTAGTGTGTGACAATGAACACAGCTGTATTCGATGAATATTAGCTGAAAGGGGAGCTGTATTCGCTTACCAGGGATGGAGAGGAGAGGCATATAGTTACACTAAATGCTTCATTTCTTCAGGCTGGATCTCCAGAATTGTTCTCTGAAGGACACTGGTCCGAACTTTCCTCAGGCCCATACTGCTGTCATCATGTAAGTGCTTGGTTGGTCTTCCCCAGAAGGTGAATATGGTGAAGGATTGATGGGAAGGTCTTTGAGGAGGGCTCCTGAAACCATGCACGAAGGTCAATCACTAAATTTGGATCACTCAGAATCAGCACCCATTACCAGTCTAGAAAGATGTGTAAATGGAAAAGAGTGTGCTCCTCGCGCTCAGTACTAACAAGAGTGTGATTTTCAGAGACCTACTAGAGAACCCCCTCAAGGATGACTTGGCTAGTGCCTTCCGTGGCTTCACCCAGCTCCAGACTCTGTGAGTAAGGCTGTCGGTTGGCAAGAGAATCAGAGGGGTAGTGCTGTGAGCTCAGCCACCTCGGGCTACATGTTACAATTACAACTCCATTCTGCTCAGGGTACTGCCACCAGATGTCAAGTGTCCTGGAGGTATCGGGGCCTGGGAGACAGTCACCATTTATAACGACAACCGAACCTGTCGAGGGCAAAAGAATCTCTGCAATAGCACTGGAGCCACAGGTATACTGTGTGACTCCGCCCTTCCGGGAACTGCCTCGCCTCCTTTTCTCCACCCTACAGAAAGATAGTAAAGTTCTTTAACTGCCCTTTATTCTGGTTTCTGAGTTTCTAACTTCTTGGAAAGAAAAGGTCTTAAAAAATATTTTTATTATTATTGTTGCAGTGTTGTTCTGATTAGCTACAGTCCACCTTTGACCTCAAATTGAGAGAATCTAACTTGAAGCAAATGTTTGCGAAACACACCTAATGAAAGGCAGTAACTTGTTTCTCTGTGACTCCAGAAATGTGTCCTGAGAATGGATCTTGTGCACCTGATGGTCCTGGTCTCTCGAAGTGTGTTTGTGCTGATGGTTTCCATGGGTACAAGTGTATGCGCCAGGTGAGGAAGTTGACCTTTGGATTGGGGATAGGAGGAATGCACAGAGCCAAGAGCCCCTCTGAAAGGAGCCCACAGACCGGAAGCTGGCGCAGATAAGGACACCGGAAGAATTGCCCCGGATGAGGGGGGCAATACTAGTAAAGAAATGGGGGGTAGACTTTACCTTTTGGTGTGATGCCGGATGAGATTTTTTGGTCTGTTATTCACAGGGTTCTTTCTCGCTGCTGATGTTCTTCGGGATTCTGGGATCCACCACATTATCCATCTCCATCCTGCTTTGGGGGACCCAACGCCGAAAAGCCAAGGCTTCCTGAACCATATATGTGTCGGTGCCCACAGACCCAAAGATCATCTTGATCAGTGACTCTCACCCAGCCAGGGAGATGTGCTTTCTTGACAGGCCTCCCCGGCTGGTGGATCCACCCAAAGGACGATAGAAACTCATCCAAGCTTGGAATGTTGTGGACACCCCAAGCCAGGATTCGACTAGTAGCAGCCTACTTGTGCTGCTAATTGTAATAATAAATACTTTTTTTTTTTTTTTTTTTAAGGGGCAAGGCGCCCTGGCGTTGTGTGTTTCTTGGCTGCGGTGGGAGTGTTTCGGAGGGGTGGGCTGGGCTTTGCAGGTTTCCCCCAGGACGAGGACTCCCGCCCGGCCCCGCCCCTTACGTGCCCGGCCCCGCCCCGCACGCCGCCCGCAGCCCGCGCCGCCGCAGTCGGCCGCCACCCAGCGAGCCCGAGGTTCCTGCGCCCTGCACACCGCCTGCGCTCCAGCCTCCGGCGCGGTTGGCCACGTGGACCGACTCCGGGCGCGCAGTCCTCACGTGGGTCCAGCACCGGCTGGGGCGTGCTGTGTTTCCCGCGTCTCTGCTCGCCCCCGCCTCTGAGCTCCGTTCCTATGGCGGCCCTGGTCTTGGAGGACGGGTCGGTCCTGCGGGGCCAGCCCTTTGGGGCCGATGTATCGACTGCCGGGGAAGTGGGTAAGCAAACCCGGCCGGCCGCCGACCTCATCCCACTGCTCTCTCCGCCCAGTCTGCCCTGCCCAGACCCTGCCATTTTCCTACCTGGACCACCCCCACCCCCACCCAGTATCCGGGAGCCTGGCCCCCAGCCCCTTTCATCCCTCACGATCAAAGGATCGTGCTCGGACCTTCTCGTCTCCAGGGGCGGTGTTCTGAAGAATGCCCTGCCTATTTCTTGCAGTATTTCAAACCGGCATGATCGGCTACCCCGAAGCCCTGACTGACCCTTCCTACAAAGCACAGATCTTAGTGCTGACATACCCCCTGATTGGCAACTATGGCATCCCTCCGGATGAGGTGGATGAGTTCGGTCTCAGCAAGGTAGCCACGCCCATTGCTTTCTCTTAAGTTCTTTTCAAATCGGTCTGTTACTGAGGTGAAGGCTCTGACAATCTAGTAGGCGTCCTAGAGAGAAAAGATACACCGGAGTGGATCTTTACACAGAGGCGGGGCCCTTAGTACCAGCTCAGAGTGCTGGAGACCAAACCGACTTTGGTGAGGTTTCAGTGGACTTTTTAGCGGAGATTTCTAGACGGGGAGTCTTACGATGGATGGGAGCAAAGCTTTAAGGTTATATGGATTATTGGACAAGAGACCTGACAGTAACTCACACCTTCCCAGTGATAGTCTCATTTCACCTCCTCCATCAGTGAATGAAGGTCGTTATCTTCTAAACCTGCTTGCTGGCCTAGCAATTTTCAGAAAAGTTGTTACCTCTAGGTAAGGAAACTTATCATCCCACGTGAAGTTTTTCCCAATTCTTTCTCTTCTGACTTGAATATGAATTACCCTTTGAGGGTTCCAGCAATAAAGAAACACAAGTTAATGTGGCAGTCTCCAGAGCCTAGGTGCAGTGTTCCTCACAACTCATTTGGGCCAGGTTCCCGACATGTTGAGTCTTTAATTCTAAATTTGCCTCCACAATCACTCTGACACTTAGGGAGAGTGAGCTCTAGATAAGGGACACACTTGCTATTCCTGGAAAACACTATTGCCCTTCAAAAAGCTGTAACTGCATTGTATTCTGGTTGATGCAGTGTCTTGGTTAACGTTTGTCAACTCTAAGCACGCAAAATTTAGTTTCCAAACCCGCAAAATTGAGGCCCTGCCAGAACAGGTACTCTGGGTGCAGACTAGGCTACCTGGCCAGGTTCACCACGCTATTCTTCAGATCCCGAGAGGACGGTAACAGCCATCTTCCTTAAATCTCCCTCCACTAAGAGTAATTTAAAAGCACTGCTCCCTCCCACACAAGCTACCTGAGAATTTCTGTATTTAGTTACTAAATGTCTGTCTGTTGGGTAGCAAATTAATGTTATTTCTCTTTAATAATCCCCTAAGGGCTACACAGTATACCGTCCCAGTGTCGTACCTGACCTGTACTTAGTCAGGTGCTGTTCACCTTCCTACTTTACTGTTTTTACCACACTGTGTAATTATAACCTTGTTTACTTGCTGCTTGCTCATTTTTAGTCTCCCTAAGTAGCAAATTAAAATCACAAAGATAAGCAACTTGTCTTTATTCATGCTACTCCCACCCCCATCTGTTCCAACACCCAGCATCCTGCGGACACTCAGGAAATAGTGGCTGCTACGTGTGTCACACACTTTTGCTCTTCTGTGAGCAAAATTCTGTGAGGAAGACACAGACACACCAGTGATACAGTGTAAATAACAAGGAGGTGGAAATTCAGCCAGCTTAGGTGAACTCTCAGGAGGCAGGGCTGTGGTGATGAATAGGGCTGGCATCACAGAAGGGGATTTGTGGTCTTCGTTTTGGATAAAAGAAAGGAGGAAGGGAACGTCTGTGGGTTTGAATTATTATTCACACACCCTGGGCCCCAGTGTTTGGTATTTTACATGGGGCAGCCTTGCTGGAAAAGGGCAAGAGCTTGAGGTGTTGGGTGCAGGAGTGGCAGGCAGCTTGGTCTGGCGAGCACAGGACTGTATAGAGGAAGATGCCAGAGGGAGGCATGCGGAACCCGCGCCTCACAGTCTCCTTCCATCAACAGTGGTTTGAATCCTCGGGGATTCACGTGGCAGGCCTAGTGGTGGGAGAATGCTGCCCCACGCCCAGCCACTGGAGTGCCACCCACACCCTGCACGAGTGGCTGCAACAGCATGGCATACCTGGCCTGCAAGGTAAGGCCCGACACAGGTGGGTCTGGGCAGAGCACAGGTACTTGCATGGAAGGAAGAAAAGCAAGATTTCTGTGCCTGACTGGGACTCGAGTCCACAGTTGTGATGGAAGGTTCCTCAGTTGGAGGGTTTACCTGGGACCTGGGCCGGGGAAATGAACTGAGCTCTTGCTCAGGTAATCAACACAGGGTTACAGTTACTTCACCACAGCCACCACCCCACAGATTATTCTGAAGCAAATCTAGACATTGTATCATTTCATCCACAAATATTTCAGTATCTATGTAAAAGAAATCCTTTGTAAGACTTACCTTTAAAAAGTTAACTTTGGGCCCTCCCTGGTGGTGCAGAGGGTTAAAAGCACAGCACTACAAGATAGCTGTAGCCACTTCAGTGCAAGTACAATTCCAGGCCCCAGAGTGACCCACATGGCACAGCAGACCTCCACTGTCTCACTTGCTGCTCCCCTCAGCAGTGTGCTTCGTCAGTCTGCCTGTTCTGCTCCCCACTGTTTCTGGTGAATCCTCTCACCACCCCAGCGACTCTGACCTGTACCCCAGGTCTGTATGCATAAATAAATATTAAAAAAAAAAAAGTTAACTTCCTGAGCCCTCCCTAGTGGTACAGCAGGTTAACATACAGCACTATGAAGCTATCACCAGCATGAGTTTCATCCCTGGCCAGGGAGGTGACCCACTTGGCGCGGCAGACCTCTCCTGTCTGGCCCACTGCTCCCCTCAGCAGTATATTTCAGTCTTTCTGCCTGTTCTGCTGCCTGCTCTGTCTCTGGTGAACCCTTGCACCCCCCACACCTCTGGCCTGTACCCCAGTTCTGTATGCATAAATAAATCTTTAAAAAAAACATTAAAAAGTTAACTTCCTGATATCACCAAATGTCCACGTAGTGTTTAAAATTTCCTAGTTACCTACTTTGAAAAACTGTTTATTTAAAGCTGTACTTAATGTCCATGTATTATATCTGCCTAATCTATGGATTCTGTAACCTGCCGGGGAGAACAGCCCATTTGCCCTTTCAGGTAGTCCAGGCTGCATTTTGTTGATAATACTCCTGTAGTATCTAGGTAGCATTTGGGGGGGGGGGTACTTTTATCTATAGACTTATCTAGAGTTGTGGCTCAATTCTGCTGTAATCTTTGACAAGAATACTGGGTGACAGAGGCCCAGGATGGCCCAGGATTTTGACTGGGGCTCTGGAGTGAAAGTGCTCGCGGAGGTCTGACCACCTGCATGACATGACTGGGGGGTGGGGGCCCTGGTCTCAGAGTGGTATTTTGACAGGCGTGGACACTCGGGAGCTGACTAAGAAGTTGCGAGAACAGGGGTCTCTCTTGGGAAAGCTGGTCCAAGATGGGACAGAGCCTTCATCCCTGCCGTTCTTGGACCCCAACGCCCGCCCCCTTGTGCCAGAGGTCTCCATTAAGGTACGGAGATAGCGTGTGAGAGCGTGACCAGCTCAGCACTGGAGTAATTCTGCCATGACTGGGATGCACACTTGAGGGAAACTCAGAAGAGGCCTTGGAGTGGAGGTTGGTGTGCACATACCTATTATACCGAGCGGTCACGGCTGCCAGCCATCACCTGTATTTCTCTTCCTCAGGCCCCGCAGGTATTCAATGCAGGAGGTACCCCGCGGATCCTTGCCTTGGATTGTGGTCTCAAATATAATCAGATCCGATGCCTGTGCCAGCGTGGCGCCGAGGTCACTGTGGTACCATGGAACCACACACTAGACAACTGTGGTGAGCAGCTGGGGTCGGTCCAGTTGCTGAAAGTCAGCATGAGTGGCGGGGAGGAAGATGGCGATAAGGCTTTTACTCTGGCGGTGAGGGCTGCAGTCTGTCTCTGGAGTTGAAGGTCCTGAGGTCGTCTTTCCTCCCCTCTGCAGAGCATGAAGGCTTCTTCCTGAGTAATGGCCCTGGTGACCCTGCCTCCTACCCCACTGTGGTAGCCACGCTGAGCCGCATCTTATCTGAGCCTAATCCCCGACCTGTCTTCGGGATCTGTCTGGGACACCAGCTATTGGCCTTAGCCGTTGGGGCCAAGACCTACAAGATGAGGTAGGATTTGTATAAGGAGGAGCCCCAACTTTGACAGCAGGGTGGGGAGCCTTGGGGTTGAGGGTAGAGTTGTGTTTATTAGTGTTGAAAGAGGACTGGGTGGGAGTCAGCAGGTGCTGGGGTTGGTGAGGGGTGGAGGGACGGTGAGGAGAGCTGTCACTCGGCACACGTCCACCTCCAGGTACGGCAACCGAGGCCATAATCAGCCGTGCTTGCTGGTGGGCACTGGGCGCTGCTTCCTGACATCCCAGAACCATGGGTTTGCAGTAGAAACAGACTCGCTGCCAGCAGGCTGGCAT